TCATGTGACACTGAAGACTGGAGGAATGATGCTGAAAATACAGCTGCGCATCACAGAAATACATTACAGTTTAACACATATTCACACAGAAAACAGCTGTTTTATATTAGAATAATATTTCACTGTTTTTACTGTATTTTGATCAAATAAATGCAGCCTTGATGAGCAGAAGAGACTAGAAACATAAATGATCCCAAACTTCTGACCAGTAGTGTATTTTAGCTATAAGCATCACCTTTCTGCGCCTCCTTCTTGTACTTCATCATGTCTTTGTTTGTGTAGCCGGTGGTCCGCAGGATATCCTCCAGAAACAGCTGCTTGACCTCATATGGACAACCTTTGACTTCAAAGAAAATTCAACGTTATTATTCAACAATCACATCTGAAAGCATCAAATCCGGTGAATTATGACAAACATTCATATATGGTGTTCATCAGGGTTGTGCTCCATTCAGAATTAAACTTAAGACTAATTAAAGAAAGTATTTTAAATAAAAAAAATAACATGCAACTGAACATCCCTGAACACACATTTTCTGTGAAGCTGCTTTGAAACTGTGAAAAAAGCGCTATACAAACTAGAATAGAAATTGAATTAAAATAGACTGAAATTAAAATATATAGGTGTAGTTTGTAACAAAAGATTTCATTTCTCAGCTTCAATAAACCCATAAACAGGCTCTCTTCAAACATTAGTTGATGTAAATCAATTTTACATCTTGTTGCAACATTTTACAAAAATCAAGATTTAATATATTTGGTCAAAATCCCATGTTATAAAAGATGAAGTGCTATGCAGGCTATTTAACACAATATTGTCTGATTAGATGGCAATGTTGAGCTAAAATGCAAAATGTTTGCCCTTCTCTCTCTCTTCACCGTTCCCACATCTCAGACCTCAAATACATAAAATATTACCCTTTTTAGACATAGTTTTTGAAGTAAAGAGTAAAGAAAATACTATACAAAAACTTACTAAAACAACCAGGGGCCAGTTGCATAAACTTAGCCACCATGTTAAGACTGTATTAGTCTTAGTAGACAAATCCTACAATGTGATTTTCTGGATTTTTTTTTCTCATTTTGTACAGGCCTCTCTCATCTTTTTAAGTGGGAGAACTTGCACAATTGGTGGCTGACTAAATACTTTTTTGCCCCACTGTATATATATGTAGATGCCTCATTAGTGACTGTTTCAATGGGCCGTGGAAATCTACTTGTATATATATCTATGTCTACTATGCCCAAGCACGTACATGCGTCACACGCCAGATGTTGGACATTGCAGTGCATCAGAGGTAAAAAATTATATAAATACTGTTCAATTTCAGACCGATCGTTATCGTCACGAGCCGCAGGGTTTAATTTGTGTATGTTTTTTTTGACTCTCAAAGCCGTGATTCTCATTCACCTCCATTATATGACTGACAGACTGCAACGGTTTGAGTTAAAAATCTCTGTTTGTGTTCTACTGAAGAAACAAAGTCACCTACATCTCAGATGCCCTGGGGGTAAGCAGATAAACGTCACATTTTCATTTTTGGGTGAACTATCCCTTTAAGAACTAGTTTGACCAACTAGCAGCTGCTAAGCGAAGCTTACTCTTCCAATACAAATAAGACCAATCTACCTTTTCATAACTGAATTAAAATAAGTTATGACCAGGTCTTGAAGAAACACAAAATTAGACGGCTAACTTTTTAAGAGTAGTCTAAACAGTTTATGCAACCGGCCCCAGTTCATTATTTACCCTTGTAAGACCCCCCCCCCCACTTTTTTGTCACTGAAAGCTGAGGAGTTTGCATCGATGTAGCTGTTAAAGATTGGAAACTTATTGTAAAGTGTTGCCAATGTTTCTCTATCATGAACACAAGGTGTTTTCTATCGGTTCTCTTACTGTGAATAACAGGACAGGCTCCGAAGTATCTGACAAACAGATTGACGTCCAGAGTAGCGCTGGAAAGGATCAGCTTCAGCGACGGCGTCTTCTGGACAAGCTCCTTCATCTTCGTGAGTAAGAAGTCGGTCAGGCCGTCTCGCTCGTGCACCTCGTCCTGCCGGAGCAGAAGCGGTTAAGATCCGGGTCGGAGAACACGGAGAAACGTTAGTCCAGAGTTTGTGTGCTGCTCACCACGATGACATGCGTGACGGTGGACAGGGCTTCGTCTCCGGACATCAGCGTCCGCAGCAGAACTCCACTCGTGCAAAACGTCAGCAGGGTTTTAGGGGAAACTCTGAGGAGCAGCGAATACCCACAATTCATCAGCACGATTGCAGTTACTTAGATGGAGACACTTGTGCTGCTATACACAAACATGGTTCTGTCACGCTGACTAGTTGCTGACAGAGTAGGATTGTGCTATACGTGTCATCTTCTAGGATAATATGTGTCCCTGGAGCACAAAACCAGTCATAAGGTCAATTTTTTTGAAACTGAGATTAATACATCATCTGAAATCTGAATTAATAGGCTTTCCATTGATGTATGGTTTGTTAGGATCGGACAATATTTGAAAATCTGGAATCTGAGGGTGCAAAAAAATCTAAATATTGAGAAAATCATCTTTAAAGTTGTCCAAATGAAGTTCTTAGCAATGCATATTACTAATCAAACATTAAGTTTTGATATATTTACGGTAGGAAATTGACTAAATATCTTCATGGAACATGATCTTTACTTAATATCCTAATGATTTTTGGCATAAAAGAGAAATGTGTAATTGTGACCCATACAATGTATTGTTGGCTATTGCTACAAATATCCCCCAGCGACTTAACACTGCTTCTGTGCTGCAGGGACACATATAGTAATTATTGTTTTAACAATGTGTGAGCTAAAATTAATAAGTATATCACATGCTTTGCAAAACCCAAACAAACCATGCTTTGAGAGTGCACACGTGTGAAGTAGCCTGTTTGAATGACATTAAAATTCATTAAAGTTTTGTCTTATATCTTTATATCATATGATATAGTTTAACAATATCACACCAGCAAGAGTGATATTTTCCCCCAATATCTGCATGACTGCAAATGTCGTATTGATTTTACACAAGTTCAATAACAAGTTAGCATTACAATTTAAACAAAATATTGTCTGTTTTTGCCTTATTTAATGAATCCACATTTTGAACGAATCAGTTTAATGAATGATTCAATGACCTAATGAATCAGCTGTCTGAACTAATCGTTTGAATGAATGACTCAAAGGCTCTTTAGGACTCATTATGCAATTTTTAAAAATCATTTCATAATTAAATTCACATTTTAAAAAAATCTCATTGTATTATTTACGCAATTGTGATTGCAGTGTACATGCATCTAATGGTAAATGCATCAATTATTCAAATGTTATTAATTTTCATTAAAATATTAAGACATATTCGTAACTTGAAATAAAATAATTATGCAAAGTAAGGAGATAGTTTTGAACTCTAGTTATGAACTTGCTCAAATATTGATTTCGGATCATGTTTAACCAAAAAAAAGTTAACAAATGAAATAACATTTTAAAACCTTAAACTTATTTTATTTACTTATTTCTCATTTTCATTCAGTTTAACTAACTGAAAATAACTAAAACTGAAATAAAAATAACAAAAGCTAATAAAAAAAAACACATAAAATTACTACAACTTTAACTAAAATTAACATGAAAGCAGAAAATATAAATATAAAATCTAATTCAAAATATTAGCAAAAGCTATAATAGTATCTCAATGAAACTAAAATAACAGATTGACATAAAACATGATGCATGCATCTAATAAGGCTATTGAAAAAAATTGCATTTTATATATATATAAACAAACAAACGGAAAACAATTTAAATAATTCCCCGTAGCAGAAAAGCTGAGCAGACCACTGCACAGAATATGAAGAGCATGAAAAGCTTTGAGCGTCAAGCAGCACAAAAGCACACTTAGAAAACAATCGCTGAATTATTATCCTCAGCAAACTCCCAGATAATATCGCTCAGCCCTATAACGCAGTACCTGCTCTCCAGACGGATCTGATAGCCGATGGTCTGTCCGATCTTCTCGCCGCGCTCGGCCGCCACGCGCTCCGCCACAGCGATGGTCGCCAGCCTCCTGGGCTGAGTGCAGAAGATCCGGCAGGGAATCCCGCTCCGACAGCAGTCATCCAGCAGGAACTGCGGGATCTGGGAGAGGAAGTCAGTTCAGACGGATTTATTCTCTCATTAAGAGCCTTTAATCCAGAAAAACCAACACTTGGCATTATAATTTATTTCTGCACTTACTCGGGGTTTCCCAAATGGGGTTCATGAGTTGATGAAAACCTAATAATTAATTATATCCCATGCAAAATGAAATAAATACATGAGGCTGCATGAAAATTGTGATTTCAAATCAAAGGCACTGCATTTGCATTGAACATGCATTTGGAAACGCAAGATAGGCTAGATTCACTTCATGTTAAAGCGGTCATCAGATGCCCATTTTCTACAAGTTGGTATGATTCTTTAGGGTCTTAATGAAAATCTGTAACGTACTTTGGTTAAAATTTCTCAATGGTAGTGTAAAACCACACCCTTTTTCGGATCATGTTCATCATCTGCTCACAGCGAGCCATTTCGGTGCATGTCCCTTTAAAGGAGATATAATATGCCCCTTTTAACAATATGTAATATAAGTCTCTGGTGTCCCCAGAATGTGTCTGTGAAGTTTCAGCTCAAAATACTCCACAGATCATTTATTATATCATTTTGAAAATGCCTATTTTGAGTGGAAGCAGAAAAACGCTGTTTTTCGTGTCTGTCTCTTTAAATGCAAATGAGCTGCTGCTCCCCGCCCCCTTTTCCAGAATAGAGCTGCGCCATTACAGCTCAAAACATGTTTTTGTTCTGATTATCATGTTTATCGCGCTGAAATCATGCGTTTTAAACCATGTTAGTTTAAACTTCTGATATAGGGTTTTCTGAGCGCACACATCTGAAGCACACGCACAGAAAGCGGCTGTCGCAGCATGCGAGCACTAAACTAAGCTCTCATTCACACACAAGATTACGTTGGCAGGTTGTGGTGAAGCTCTTTGAGTTTGGGTGTCTTCTGCAGTAGGAGACTCACCGCTGGCGTCAGGAGAAGTGAAGACGGCTCTCTCTGTGCGCGGCTGCAGCTCACTGCGCTCTTTATTGGTGATGGGGAACCTCTGCAGGAGGCTCTGCACCATGTGTTTGGAGTTGTGAGAGAGGTTACAGGTCATGATGGAGCGAGACGCCTCCGTCCCGTCCTTCTTCCTCACCGTAAGATATCGACCGGAGCCTTTCCTGCGACAACAGTTCACAAGAACTTCATATTATTCACATTACAACTATAATTTACAATATTATTACTGAGTTATTGAACTGTATTGAGCTAAACAACTATTGTACTCAGTAGAGCTGCTTATAAATTTAATTTGTTTCACAATCGATGAATTTCAGAACATAAACAGGAAAATAACTGTGTTAATTATTGTGAAGCTGCTTTGAAACAATCTCTGCAATGTATAAAGCACTATAGAAATAAAAGTGGCTTGACTATTTAAGCAGCACCCTATGGGGTCATCTGTGCAAACAATAATCAATTGTGTCCCTGCAGCACAAAAGCAGTGTTAAGTCGCTGGGGGATATTTGTAGCAATAGCCAACAATACATTGTATGGGTCACAATTATACATTTCTCTTTTATGCCAAAAATCATTAGGATATTAAGTAAAGATCATGTTCCATGAAGATATTTTGTAAATGTCCTACCATAAATATATCAACACTTAATGTTTGATTAGTAATATGCATTGCTAAGAACTTCATTTGGACAACTTTAAAGATGATTTTCTCAATATTTCGATTTTTTTGCACCCTCAGATTCCAGATTTTCAAATATTGTCCGATCCTAACAAACCATACATCAATGGAAAGATTATTTATTCCGCTTTAAATCGGAAACCAGTAACAGGAAAATAGATTATGGAAAAATAGTAGAGCAATTAAAAAAGTAATCTTAAATAACTCCATAGTCTAGTTTTAGGCTGGTTTTTAGCCATAGTGCTGTACACCAGCATGCATTTGTAATGATGCATAAACGTCAGTTCTGCATTTGACATGCAAATTCAACTTACCCTCTGCTTTTTGAGACGTAACCCAGGGACTGAGTAAGCCGATGTATGAACGCTCTCTCAGAATTTGTCAATGAAGAAGGGAAATCCAGCTCTATGAGACACAACAACAGCTTTAATCCCTTTAAACAGAAATACACAAACCAGCATCAAAGTCGGCCCACGATGACCTTTGATTTGACCTGCCATGCTACATCACATGAGGGAGGAAAAAACATGCCACTGAAGCACATTTCATTCCGTTTGGTTTTATTTTTTGCATTGAAATGTAAAAAACAATGTAAGTGAATTTGACGAAAATATATTTTAAAAGTTGTTAGTTTTTGTTTAATTGTGTAAAAACAACAATATATGATACATACAAAATAATATAATATAGTTGGATATAATGCAACATTTACTTTTGGCCCACGGTCCCCAATCAAGTTCAAGTTTTGACCCTTTGGGCATCTATGCCTTAAAATAATTAAAAGGTAAAAGCAATAAAAGTCAAAATGTCTGTGCAATCAAGTCCACGATATCACTGGATATTAAGTGTCCCCAACTAAGCAATCCAGAGGAACCGAAGCTCCATCGGTGACAGAATGGAGAAAAAACCTTGGGAGAAACCAGGCTCAGTCGGGGGCCAGTTCTCCTCTGACCAGACGAACCAGCAGTTCAGTTCCAGGCTGCAGCAAAGTCAGATTGTGCAGAGGACTCGTCTGGTTCCTGTGGTCTTGTCCCGGTGGCCGTCTGAGACGAGGTCTTTACAGGGGATCTGTATCAATCTTGGAAGTAAAGTAGTTCATAAAGTCATTACTGCTGTGCTGTTGGGAAATGTCAACACCTGTTGATGCTTTCTTTTTCTTTAATTTAGCCACTGTATTGAATAAATACCTGGAGCTATGTTTGTTTTCTTCTAAAAGAGATGAAAAGTAATCAGATCTAGCAGTTTTTAATGCTTTTCTGCAGGATAGGGTACTTTCCTTCCATGCAATACGAAATACCTCTAGTTTTGTTTTCCTCCAGCTGCGCTCCATTTTCAGGGCTGCTGTCTTTAGGGTGCGATTGTGCTCATCATACCTGCTCATATCAGACTGTTTTCCTTAATCTTCCTTAAGCGTAAAGGAGCAACCGTATCTAAAACGCTAGAAAAGAGAGAGTCCATTATGTGAAAAGCGAGACTGTCTCCATTTGTAAGTACTTTAATATATTTACATAATGTTTAGCCCACCCCCCTGGCTGTATGTGTATTTTGTATACATATTATTATTATTTTTGTTTGTGTTTTATGTTTTCATGTGTATTATTGTAATTCTAACTGTACTTTGAAGTTCAATAAAAATAAAAATAAAAAATCCATTACATTAAACATTTTAGGTTAAAGATTACTTTTAACACATTGATTTAAATAGGATAATATTGTACCACACTGATATTAAAATGCAAAGAAAATATATTCCGTTTGATGTTATTAACAACATAAAGTGAATTAAGAATTACATTATGTCAAGGTTTCTCAAACTGGGGTTTGTGAAGGAACTTCAGTGGGTTTGTGAGTTTAATGAAAAGCTAATAATTAATTAAGTCATAAAAATAAGAAGAATAATTATGGATAACAATTAAGAATAATTTATTGCTATTGTGTGAATATATGTAAATAAAAAGGTAACTCTGATTACAAGTATTTTAAAATGTAATTTAATCTAATTACAAGTACTTAATTTTCAGAATCTGATTACGAAATCCAGATTACATTTAATCAGTTACTACCTTGCTCTGCCTATATATCCACTACACAGTTACACCAATAGGTGGCGACAAGTGACTGCATTATAAGCCAGTTTGAATCATTCATTCAACCGATTCGTTCTTAATGAACGAGTCATGAACTCATTCGCTCAACCGATTCGTTCACAGAGTCATTCAAAACAAAGTGTTTGTTTTCTTTATTTTGTAAAGCACAGTGTTTTGTTGTTATTGTGACTGTACACAAATAAAAATAGACCCTTTATAGTTTCATAATGATGTCTCACTCGTTTCTGCTGTCATAAGGAACAAATTCAGCCTGTTCATTATCAAAATAAAATAAGCCAACCAAACATATATAAAGTTAGGCTACGCTACTCAATTTAAATAGTCCGAAGTAGGCCTGCTATCCATTGCATTCACCCACCAAACATTGCACATGTGAAGAAGAATGATTAATAATGTTTTTATTAAATAATGGCTAAGTTAAGACTTGTTCAAAACAATCACTTTAGCAACTATTTTCTGCTTATTTAGAATTTCTTTCAATAAATAAAATGTTAATATAGAAAATATATTTTAAAATACAGAAACAAAATCATTTTAATAAGTAAAGATTCTGAAAGCATTGATGGAGATCCAATAATTATTGAATGTATATGTACAGTATAACAACAAATAATATTTTATTATATGATATGATTAATATCATGTTTTTAAATATGATGGGTTTCATTCTAAACATGGTGATTATCTCTAATA